TTTTTTGACAAGAACATTGTTTGGATTGTCTTTTGATTTGCAGTTATTCTGAAGTTGCATTATAATATTATTGCCTATAGATTTATATACTGTAATAACTACATATTATATAGTTATAATATCATTAGTAATTTGAAAATTACAATGTTTTGCAATAATGTATCAATATATCAATATAGATATTACAGTACAATATCGTATAAATTACAACAGAAGCAGACAAAAATGACAAAATACAGTACAATACTGTTTTGTAGTTTACAGTACTGTTCGTGTGTACTGTAAATTGAATTACAGTACAGTTACTGTAAATCGAAATACAGTACCTTGCTGGCAACCTTGCTGCCAGTACTGTACTGTAAAAATACAAGAAAATTGTTAACAGTGTAGGTATAAATAAATGGGAAAACGGATCTCCCTAACACGGTTCTTCAGGAACCAGCTAAATATCAGAGCGAACTAGCGGTTGAATTCAAAAGCAACATGTTAGCTGTCACCTTTTTCCAACAATTTACAGCAGGCTCTTCTCCTGAGAATTCACAAAGCTGACTGTTTTATTCATGACGTGGAGATCCAAACATTCATATACAGCGAAAGGCAACCACAAAAACAGCAGAAGGTCACAGTAAGGTAAACAAACAAACAGAAAAGTTACTGAGGCAGAGAGGAGAAGAAAACATCAGTAACAGATTTGAAATCTGTCTCTCTTTCTCTCCTCCCAGAGGTATAAATAAGTAATGAGCATATTGTTAAAATTCATGTTGCACTTTCATTCCCTCCAGTCATTTACTGACTCACTCTCTCTCTCTTTATGTAGTATAATGCATGCTAATGCCGTGAGATCAGCCCATTACATGTTATTCAAGGTGCAGAAAGAACTCCTGGTAAGTCACAGGCCATGTGATTGCGGTTGGCGTCAGGATACAGAACGCATACACAATGGCCAGCTTTCCTCTGAATGTGCATCTCCCCTCCTCCCTTTGATATTCGGCTGTTCACGTCCTTCACAAGCAATCATATAAAATCAGATTTCATTGGATGAAAATAGAAAATATATTGCATATCAAATTTAGGATCACTGTAGACTAACCTCAGCCCCCCCTCTCTCTGTTGTTTTCTGTTCTCTTTATCTTGCTTTATGCCATATTTTATGCTTTGTCTTTACGGTTTTCAACTGAATTGTTATACTATTTAATTTGAGCTTATGGTATTAAATGCAATAAGAACTTCAAAACATTCTCAGTTAGCCCCGTTTCCAGTACAGATTTGCGCAAATCTTTAGCAATATTTTCTAAATTTTGATTAAAAACTATTGAGAAATGACGGCATTTCCATTAACTGATGTTATGCGACTAAAACGTAATTTTTTCCTCTCGCGATAAGTAATTCGAAAAATCGGTAGGTTTTGGATGTTGGTAGGTTTATGTAGGCCTATATCTCAGCCACTGCACTAGCCAAGGAAACATAGGCGTGTTATCCAAGCTTTAATGGCAAGGAAAGCCCCTATACTTGGGAGCGGCACATATGAGGTGTTTCTCCTCCATATCTGCTTCAAGGTCTTTATAAATTGGGGCATTTCTTTGTTGTTTAGAATCCAGTGTTCCCTTAATACTGTTGTCTTTTATGAGTTTAATGAAGAACTCTGTCTCGTCTTCTGTACAAACATACCGCGCCGTCTACGTCAGGTGACCTGTAAATGTGCAAAACAGTTTCCATTGTAGTTTTGTGAAATATTTCTTTTTCGAACTGCCTGAAAAAACATGCACCTCATGCAAGCGTAAAAACTTTTTTTGCGATATATGGGAGTTTTTGTGAAATTGACGTGTTTTCATTGGGTGTAGTATTTTCAATTTCAATTTGTGCAGTTTGAAGTGTAATGGAAACGTGGCTAGTGAGAGGTGTGTTTCCATGTAAACTAATGAATGTCAGTCAACAGAATGTTATTTTGTTTTGTGTCAAAGGGCATTTCAATGTGCAGTGGAGTGTATTAAAATAAAACTAGTTGTCTGAGTCTCAAAGATGAACTGGGCAGATCTATCCTGACTGAGTCAACAAGGGTAAACGCAGCTGCCAAGTTGTCTTCAAGACATGTAAGAGTAGTTTAGGCAGGAGAAAGAGATGGAGAGAGAACAGATGAGCACTATGACAAAAAAGGGGAATTTTCTTTCTGCTTTTCGTTCTTTCTAATAGCACATGGCACATATGCATCATATCATCATTAAAAACCAGAGCCTTCATTATAAAAAATAAAAAGAGAGACACATGAATTACATGAGAGACTGTGATACTGAAGCCAATGAGAACATCACAGAAGTGTGTTGCATGCTGTTTTATATTGATTTAGTGTGGTAATCCTTGTTCTCTAAATAAATCAGGACCTCACAAAATCAAATAAAGTCTTTTAAAAGGCAGCTCTGGTTTTGCATGACTACCCATGGTGCAGTGAGGAGTCAGAGGGACATTGAGAGATAACAGTTTATCAGCAAAACACACAGGTCCCACATCACACCTAATACATTAACTTGTAACAGCTTCCCCAGAACACACCACTGGTGCTCAGCACAGCTACAGGTCAATAATGACTCCCCTTAGTAGCATCAGACACTGGAAGCTACATCATTTTACATTGTGCTTGTTAAACATTGCTCTATGATTGCTTAGTGTAAATGATAAAACAAAGAGTTCCCATCCTAGAGGCTGATTGGTCAATGCAGCGCTTCAAACTTGCAAAATACACAATATTAGCATGTATGATGGCAAACATCTGTTTACCTAGAACCTGTGTACATCAATCTTCAGCACCCATAGACAAAATGTATACCAATCAGGGACTATTGGCCCTATCATACACCCGGTGCAACGCAAGTGTCTTTTGCTAGTTTCAGCCTGACGCATTTTCATGTCCTGCGCAACGTTGTTTAAATAGCAAATGCATTTGCGCCCATTTGTGCGCCCATGGGCGTGCTGGTCTAAAAATCGAGGTGTGTTCAGGCGCATTGTTGGCGCGCTGCTATTTTGATGCAACTGAAATAGACTGCGCCATTGACAAACAAAAACCTGGTCTAAAGTCAATGGCGCAGTATTTATTTTATTTAAAAGGCGCATTAGTAATATGCGCCTATATGCGGGTGCACAATGCACTCTGCTTATTACACACACAGGGCACACAAACATGCCAAATATTAAAAATAAAAGGATTACAATGTAACAGATTATTATTGTGTACATAAAGATATGGAGGAATCCGGGTTGTCCCGTAGATGGTCTGCTTGCACGCTTTAACCTCGCGCACGAGCAGATCCGTTTTCTCTCTGGAGTGTTCAGTTTTTCCGATTGCAAATTCCGACATGTAAATAGTAATCCGCCATGGCAAGAGCGCAACTGGCTTTTAAAGGGAATGGTAGATGAGACCCTGATTGTTTTTTGTTTTAATGCCCAAAACACACCCATTACTCATTAAGAGAATAGGGACAATCCTTTTAAGCCTGGAACACACCAAGCCGACGGTCGGCCGTCGGGCAGTTTTTGTGCGTCGGCCGACTAAGTTTCCTCGGTGTGTTGTTCCGCACGGTTCCGTGCCGTCGGCTGAAATTGGTCCTCGTCGGCTTTGTTTCGGCCGATTCGACATGTTGAATCGGCGTCGGGCCGTCGGTGAAAGAGGGAACTCTGATTGGCTGCTCAGCTTAGTGAAAGAGTCAATGCACGAGAATAATAGCAAAACAGCGACCAAAGAAGTTAAAACTCTACAGATAGAAGGCTGTTCTTATGTTACGTCATCTTACCTGAGTGTTCCTTGGCGAATATTTCAATATTAACACGAGCGGAGTGGAATAAAGAAAGTGTTTAGCAGGATTGATATTCAAAACGGTAAGCATTGTTTACGGTATGTGAATCTGCAGCCGGCAGCATCGGTTTCCCTTTTTGAATGACGAATATAGACTAATATATCTGCAGAAATAGACAGTTGTCTCATTTACACGCAGGCGCAGAACGCGCATTCTAGCTGACAGTCGGCTGTAGTTCTCTCGGTGTGTTCAAGTGCAGCTTTTTACCCCGACGAGAGGCGACAACACAGTCGGCTTTCATCAGCGCTAGTTCGTCGGCGTCGGCTTGGTGTGTTCCAGGCTTTAGACCATGCACGCCGACCATTTTTCCCGTCGTTACACTAGCACAAGTGGATTCGGACACGCCCTAATTGCACTTTAGACCATACGCTTAGATCGTTAAAATAGGGCCCTGTATCTTTCAGTGGAAATCAAATTAAATAATAAAATTAAATAATATAAAATAAACATTTCTGTTATTATTTATCTTTAAGGGGAAGGAAAATAAAATAAAAAATAATAAAATAAAAACAAAATGAAACATTCTGTAATTGTTTACATGCCAGGGACTACATCTTCTATTGGAAAATAAATAAATAAATAATGTATCACACAAAATCAAAAGTTGTCAGTAATAACAAGGTGGTTAAACAGTATTCAGAATCAGTACAATTCATTTATTTTTAATGTGGGAAAATGACTGAGTGCACCTTCAGTATTATTTTAATAATACATTTATTTATAATTGAAGAATGCTTGCAAGATTTCAGGCAAAAAAAAAGAAGAGAATGGCCACTAGAAAGTGTCACGCTTCTCAAAGCTTCTTGGTTTATGTGGTCATAAATTCTGTTTGTGTGCCGACAGCCAGAGACTGACAACAGCCTCAGCACCTTTCACCACAGGCAACAAAGACCCCGAGTGCAGAGCTGCTCCCAGCACAGGTGACAGCAATGAGGGGCTGGGAAATAAGATATGAGGGAAGCAGGAAAGGAAGGTGGGAGGGTGAAGCTACCACCTATAAGTACAAGAGAGAGGCTGTGCGAGAGAGAGAGAGAGAGAGAGAGAGAGAGAGAGAGAGAGAGAGAGAGAGAGAGAGAGAGAGAGAGAGAGAGAGAGAGAGAGAGAGAGAGAGAGAGAGAGAGAGAGAGAGAGAGAGAGAGAGAGAGAGCTGAGAGCTGAGAGCTGGCTGGTGAATATTGGCTGGTATTGCTGGGAGAGGAGGGGCCTGCTGTAAAGCTGTAATGGGCTCCAGCTTGTGCAGTGGTGCCGATCCCCACATTTCCTCCAACCTAGCAGCTTTTCCTCTCTCTGCAGACACAAATGTGCGCGCGCTGGGCTGGCACCGCTCCAGCACAGCCTTGAGACACTCAAACGGATTTTTCGGATTCACCATCCCACCATCTGACTGAATGACTTGGTTTTTCTCTTTGGAAACGCACGGCTCCAGTTCATTCATCTTCAAACGCTCAAGCAAGCTGGATTACATCCCAAATATGCAGACGCGAGCAGCAGAACCATAAGGGAACATCATTAGCAGTGGGGTAATATGCACTTTTTATTGTGAGCCTCTCCTGAATCTGGATTTCTCTCAGATGCCGAGCAGATGTAGGGCAGCGTCCAATTCATTCCCTGCTGAAGATCAGATACTTCCAGGCTCCACTTCATCCCTTTCAATCATCCGTCCGACATGTGATGGAGAGACCTGTCCTGGTAGACTGCCATCTGGTTCGGAGAAAGAGCTGAGCTTACCTCTGTAGTGCGAGAGAGGCTGTTTCTGGCATGATCTGACAGGTGCACTTGCTCATTCATTTTCTGCCATGAACACGCAGCAGGAATTCCGGGAAGAAAGGAAGAGGGCAGGTTTGATGTGATCTGTGAACGACAGACTCTTATCTGCACAGTGAGTGCAAATGAGAGGTGGGATTACATCCCCACTTTATAGAGGACGAGGAAAAGATGATGACACAGTCATAGAGTGCTTTTGTAGGTAAATACATGCAGGTGTCAAATACAACATGCTATGAAATCAGGCACGGCATCAGACCTACAGTTATACTGAAGGCTAATGAACATCTAAATGCATCCGCATTGTAATTGCAAGAATGTTTTATTGTAGGGAATAAATCGTAACGGAAATACTCAACAAGTCAGTACTGCAGCAGGCAGTAGTCATAGAATCAAGCAACATGTTTTAAAGCACTTCAAATAGCATGACGTGCATGTCTGCGCCTACAGAGTGTTGTTATATGTAAATGAAGGGAACAAGCTCTATAATAATAGAAAGAGTGTGAAGGAAGGCATCTCTCAGGGGAAAGCGGAGCGGCGGAAAGTAAACATTTGTTTATTGCATCTTTTATTTAATAATTCATGTCTTAGTCTACGACTTTGGCACCAGGGAGTTTACGCTGAGCAGATCTCTTCTTTGATTATATCGTTCTGACACGGTGGGATCTGTGAATTTAATCCTCGGCTCGCTGCTCGTTTCAAGTGCAAAGACTTTGGGGATATGAAACATTTTCAGTCTAATGTAATATTATCAGATTTGCGTCATCATAATTCTGCCATAGGTGAAGTTTTCAAGGCTGTAACATTGAACCAGCTTCCCTGAGTGTATATGGTGAAGTAAATTCAAAGCTGGGTAAAAGCACACGGACGTCAGAGGCTTCATACATCAGCAATCAAACCTCGACTTTCTCACGGCTGGATGCTTCAGCATCTCTGATCCCGCTTCCAGGGTTGGACCTCAATTAAAACAGCAGCCGGGCCTGAATGAGGGAAGCAGACAAAGAAAAGCACATCAAAGCCCTTTCATGGAGTGCAGAGTCTTAACCTCTGATCTCAGGGAGGGATTATTGTAATTGGAAGGCAGGGATAGGCACCTACATCGGAGAATCAGGAAGCAAAGTTCATCGAGGAATCGCACCCCCTCAGGAAATCACAAGCCAGGATGGGCTGCAATATGTGTGTGGTGAACAGGCCAGAGGAACAGTACAGGATCATGTTCCAGGTGAGAGTGCCAACATAAACAAGTGCATATTACATTTTCTCTTCACTTTTTGATTTTTGCACGGGCAAACCTAATGCTTATTGGGAATAATCATTAGAAGGTAAAAGTTTCATAAAGTTATGAAGTTCATAATGCATCATACATTTAAATAGACCACATATAATGTGACTTCACTTCTGTTCAAAGGTTTAAAAAAAAGAAAAAGAGAAATGAATATATTCACCAAGAATGCACTGAATTGATCAAAAGTGACGGTAATGCAATTACTAATTTTACAAAAAAATTATATTTCAAATAAATGCTGTTCTTTTGAAATTTCTATTCATTAAAGAATCCTGAAATAACAACTTCTGTACTAAAACTTTTTTCAACATTGATAATAATAAGAAATATGCACCAAATCAGCATATTGGAATGATTTCTAAAGGATCATGTAATACTATGACTGGAAATACTAATGGCTGATGAAAATTCAGCTTTGCCATCATAAGAATAAATAACATTTAATAATAACATAACATATACATATAATAATAACATCAAATTATTTTAAATGATAATATTTCACAAATTTAGTTTTTACTGTATTTTTTATCGAATAAATGCAGCCTTGGTGAGCATAAGAGACCTTTAAAAAACATCTTACTGACCCCAAACATTTGACCGGTATCAAATGTAACATTAAAAGTAACAATTCTGAGATGAGCTGAAGCTTGTTATATTATGTATTAAATGTATTAGGAACATACAAACTAACTGTTAAATATTCCATTTTAAAACCGTGGGTAATACTGAATAAATGTTGAAACATGGACATGGATTTGGGCCATCTAGTTTATATGATTAAATATAAAAGGGAAATTAGACCTTAAATCAGCTCGTTTGGATGAGCAATTTAAATTTGAGCCCAAAATAGACAACCTTGAGTATGATCACCATTCCATGATCTATAACAGTGAACCATTCCTCAAATTATATTAATAGTTCATCATACATCTATATTTACCTTTGAAATGGTGAAATGGTTCTTTGTGTTGGGTTTAAGGTCCTGTACTCCTGCATGAGGCTCCTGTTCTTGTTCTTAGTACCAATGAAAAACAACTCCCATTCTGTTGTCTCATATAAAGGCACCAGGGTTTGTGTGTGTTTCCTTACGGGGATTGTAGATCTGCCAGCAAACTGGAAAATGTTTATCGTAACAGAGCAGCTTTAAGATGTGTCAAGGGGCTTTTAAGTTACGTTGGTGCTTTAAGCAAAGAATTTAATGAATTAATCCTGTTGAAAACCACAATCCCCCAAACCACACAAAGACGTCCTACTCAGCATCCTCTAATTGACATGGCGGTGAGACTTTCTAATAGGCTGAGAGAGAAAAAGTGTTGCTCGTTTTTAAACCTATTCCACTGTTGAGGTGTTAAAGTTTGGGTTCCATTCTGTCATTTTTCCAACCACATGACAGGTCATGTGACTATGATTGATAGCTAGGGGATATTTATACTTCTGGAAAGTAGAGCAGGATGAGAGAAGGGCAGATCTGCTAATAATAAAACCTATCAGGTGTGTAAAATATCTGTGGCAGATAGCAGAGATGGAAATGGATTGTTAAAATCAAGGTTTATTGAATTCGGAAGCTGAGTACAAGTGTACCGGAGCAAAGCTGATCCAATATGCAAAATAAAAAAGCATGGCACGTCTCTGAACACATGGCTTAAAGCTGACAATGGAAAGTGGCTGCAGTATAATGTCACCTTGAATTAAACTAAGGGTCCAAATCAGTAAGTATCTGTGACACCTCTGAATAAACTATTTTAGCCTTTTTGCAAGGTCACGCTCATGAATTTGCAAATATTAACTCAATTTATATATTTTGGGAAGAGAATGATGCTCGGGTGAACTATGCGGTTGCGGAACGTGGTTAGGGTTTCTATTTTCTTTGGATTATAGCAAATAACAGCAAAGTGTCTCCTTTTTTGTAAATAAAAATAAAAATAATTCAAAACAAAAATTCAATCTATTCAAGAAAAGTTAATTATAAACATGATTAACATTTAAAAAAAAACATGCATATAAACATTTTTATGTGTACTATATAACAAAGTGCCTCGTTTAAAAAAGAAAATAACAATGACATAAATTAATTTTAAAAAAAAACGAAGACTTCCAAACAAAAACGCAACCTATTTCAAATGAACTGATGCCTCTCAGTTCTTTCACCTGTAACATTTAAACTCCACTTGACCAAAATCTTCTTCACAGCTTGAGTTTGCAGCTTTGAAGTTTTGTTCAGAGAGCAATTTGCTTTCTCCGCCAGATATCAATGTCATGCCAGGATAGGTTGAGCTTTCTCTAATACTGAGAGGATCTCCCACTTGATCTGTTCAATCTCACTTCAATTTCCAGCTTCTCTCTGCCATATTCTACACTGCCTGTGGCTCCTCACAGAGGGTTTTGCTCCTTAACCAGTTTCTTCCACAGTGACGGATAGTCCTCTCTGTGTAAGCCTGTTTTAAATGCTGCACACATATTAGTGGAAAGAGCTGGAAGACACCATAAACCCCCTGCCAAATCAACTGCACCAACACTGGAAGCCCCCTGGATTTACAAAGGAATAGTGAAGCATATATAATGCGCTTTAAAATGTGATGCATTGCAAAACGATATCAGCATGAGAGTGATACACAAGCTGTGGGTGACATCACCAGGAGGCGTTACATGTCTTTACCCCCCCCCCCCCCCCCCCCCCCCCCCCCCCCCCCATATCCTTCATAGCTTTCAAACTGAAATTGTTCAATTGGATAGTTTACCCAAAAATGAAAATTCTGTCATCAGTAACAACACCCATATCTATCTTTTTATGTTTATGAAAGAAGTCTTTTATGCTCAACAAGGCTGCATTTATTTGAACAAAAATACAGTAAAACAGTAATATTGTGAAATATTTCTATTGTTTTCTATTTTAATATATTTTAAAATGTAATTTATTCCCGTGATGGCAAAGTTGAATTTTCAGCATCATTACGCCAGTCTTCAGACATGATCCTTCAGAAATATTCTAATATGCTGGTTTGGTGCTCAAGAAGCATCTCTTATTATTATTATCAATGTTGAAAACAGTAGTGTTGCTTAATATTTTCGTGAAAATCATGATAGAAAAATTCAGCATTCTTTGATGAAAAGAAAATGAAAAAGAACAGCATTAATTTAGAATAGAAACCTTTTGTAATAATGTAAAATTCTCTTTACTGTCACCGTTGATCAATTTAATGCATTCTTGCTGAATAAACTATTCATTTCTTTAAAAACTAAAACAGCAAACTTTTGAACGGTAAATTATACCAAATCGTGTGACTTGTTGAAGAGAGGTGAGCTATTACCACAGTGTAAGAAGAAAAAAAAAGGAAAAGGTACATGTCTTTCAGGACATTATTTGTTTACGGACACAGCACAATGTGTATTTAAATTACAGGTTAATATGGAAAATTCCTTCATCTTAACACAGTGGGCACTATTTATTTACAGACTTGGAGATGATAAAACTGGTGTAAAATCCCCCAGGCTTATACTGACGGAGGGACCCGAGCCATATCTAGGGATCAGAATAGTATAGAGAAGCATGGATGTGCTTTTATTAATGTAACCAACCACTTAACACCTAACAACCACCCAGCAACTGCACAGCAACATGCTAAAAAGCACTCGTAACATATAACAAAAGCAAATCAACATGGTGATCATGGCATTTCTTCATAAAATGTCTTTTATCATTGCAATATTGTCACTGTTTTATAAAAGCAACAAGCCGCCATGGGTTAAGCAGTGTTCCAAAAAAAACACAATAAATCGCACCTCTTGTGGCTTATTGCTTACTCTAAAGTGCTTATCACAGTGACACTGTTTCTTAGACACACATTCTCACTCAGTCTTTCTCTGTGTCATGTATCTGAGTAAGTGGCATTTGCTCTTGTTTCTCCTCTGTGGCTGGGCACACAGTAATGAAGAGCAGACACATCCTGACAGGCTTCATTGGACTCAGGACAAGCTGCTGCAGGCATGAATAATACCATTCACACTGGATCACATTAGCCGGCTCTGCTGGAATAGCCGAGCGCGTGGAATCGCTATCCGTGAACGCCATCGCATTCATTTGGCAGGACCATCTTCATGTGATGCTCATCCGCGCTAATTGCCGCTAAGCCTTAGTCTTATGATGAGATTTAAATGAGCGCAGTCTGCACAAAAATCCTGTGCATGTTGAGTCGCACTAAAATGAGCCTTTTACACTTTGCCTTTTGTAATCCCGCCTAAAACCCCCCACGACACGTCTGATGAGTTTCCCTCTCGCTCTCTCAGTCTTCCTGCCTCTACCTAACATACCCTGTCAAATTTGTCTCTATGGGATGCCGTTGCCAAGGCAACTGAGGTCATTAAGCAAGACTTATATGCTTTCTCACTGCAACGCACGAAGACGCAATAATGACGGCGAACACAAATAGTCGAGCACACTAAATCAGGCGTTTGGAAAAAACCATTGATGTAAATAAACATGATCCACTAGTGCAGGGTGAAGTGTACCCTCCACGCTGCAGGAGGTCTCTCCAAACACGCAGCGACATGAAAGGAAAAAAGATAAAACAGTCCACCCTTCACCTGCTCGGAGAATAGGAGGAAGAAAGAAGAAAGTAAAACTAATCCAGACTGACATTTCAGGCACAAGTAACCTTTAGTTAAATTCTCCTCTGGTTTCTAGAGCAACCCTTGCCCTGCCCTGACCGGCAACACTAGCAGGAGCAAAAATTGCTATCGTCCATCTTGAACATACATACCGTCCATCACTGCTCAGGACTCAGGATTAATGGAGGTTAAGGTTCAATCCAGGGCAGAGAGCGAGAGAGAGAGAGAGAGAGTTTCCCTCCTCTAAACTCTAATCAAAAGCAAGACGAAATCCTGAGGGGAAGGTGATGGAAAGAGGGAAGGAGGACGGGAATATAGTTTGGGAACAATGTAAAAGGCACAATTTAGAACCTCAAACTGAGTTGACCTAGTTTACTGCAGTGCTTAGAACCTTTGTGAAGACGTTTAGCATTTCTAACACTTTGTTTAACTGGGTCAAGTTGATTGATAGAAGCAAGCTGATTTCAAAATGAAACTCAGAAAAAAAGAGGCCATAATTAGAATAATTATTTGGGGAGAATCTTTTCGGAAACAGCCCTCTGTTTCTGTATTATAATTAGCAGTCATAGCAGGCCGGCGGTGGAAATGCAACAACAAACAACCTGTCACTCCAATACTCAGCTCATATTACAGCTCATACTTCTGTAATAATAACCACAAGATGTAATACTCAGAGGTGGCAAAGTAGAAGCATTAAAGCAGTTACAGATGCAATAAGCAGATACAATGTCTAACAAACAAGACACTTTCTTTCCAGGCACAGTCTACTACTTCATAACATTTAGTTAAAATGATTGTAGTCAACATTCAACCTATTTTGAATCTTATTGAACGATTCCTTCATTCACACATTTATTTATTTTAATTTAAATCAAAATGTCATCACTCCATCTTCTGGTGAAATGACAGACCACTCTCTGCTGACGTATGATGGCCGCCTTCAAACATTTAGTCCACTTAAACCCCGTCCCATTCTTACAATTGACTGCAAACTCACATTCAGATATGCCTCCATACAATCAACAACCGACAGATAGAACCCAGTCTCTGACCTACTTTTAAAAAAAAAAATCAGAAATATGTTTCACTAAGTATTGTTTTATTGTTTCACTCAGAAACATGTCACAACATGAAAGAAAAAAATCTGTCTCTACTTCTGTTACATCGCGACATTGCTGCATTGGGTATCAAACTAAAAATGAACAAAACTTTTAAAGCATTTAATTTTTTTTTGTTATTGTAACATTCTACATAATGGATGTCAGCTAATGTTAATCGATTGAACTTTGTTGTGACGTTTTACTTTGTGAATAACTCAAAAACAGCATTTGGTTCCACACTAGCTAGATGAACATTTTCTTAAAATACAACAAAATTGAAGTCTTGGAGGGAACCATAATTAATGCAGCTTGTTTGGTAGATCAGACTTTGAGTTAATGCAGGCATCCCACAGTGAGATGATAGGGATCGTTGGGGTGTGGATGTGCATTGCAATATCTGTGAGCGCTTTCAGAAGCTCCTTCATTAGCTAAGCAAATATTCCACAGGGGCAAATGTACAGGGTGAAGGTCAATAGAGGTGTATCAGAAGTTAAAGAGATGTAATTGCTGTCTCCTGGTATTGAACTGATAAGCACAATCACCCACTGAGTTCTGTATAGGCCACTTGATCATGCAGAGGAAATTCCATCACAGTCCATTCAACACATTGCTCTGAAAATACTAAAACAATTATTAAATTCCAACACACTGCTTCCCTATATAAAATAGCTTGTAATTTCCCCCATGATCTTATGTTTCTAAATGTAAAATACTAAAGTATCAAGCTCATGCTAGAGAATCAGACATTCTATATGACAGATGTAGTTGAATGTATGGAAAAACTCTTCTGCTCGAGAACTCCATGTTTGCCAATATCGCTATTGCTCCATCAACTCTGAATCCCATGAGCAGACAGTCCATTTGTAATCAAAGCTACTGACAGGATCGATAATGAGCTGAACACAATGAAAAATAAATAGGTTTCACCTCTTTTAGACATTGAAAGACTTTCAGTCAAAAAGCATAAGGATTGGGGTGAGACCTGGTCTCTAAGGGTCAGCTATTTGTAGCTTGACTGCTTTGAGAATGATGAAAGACAGAGAGAGAGAGAGAGAGAGAGAGAGAGAGAGAGAGAGAGAGAGAGAGAGAGAGAGAGAGAGAGAGAGAGAGAGAGAGAGAGAGAGAGATTATGTCAAAAGTACTTTCAGTAGTATTAACCTTATATTGATTGTGGGTTGTATTCATGAGGGTTAAATCACCTCTCATATGTCCCTCCCTAAGCCCTGTCATCGGACGAACTGTCCCAATGCACAAATCCAAATCTGGACTGCTAGTTATAATTATAATAAATAAAACAACAGCCTTAGAGTTATTAACCTGCGTCCACAACAGCACATGTAGGACATGGTATAATATGTAATACATATACCAGACAGGTCCTCAGCACAGACCATATGGCCAGCTTCGGCTCCATACCGGCATAATGAATCTGATCTTCAATCAAAAGGAACTGGATGAATATTTGCTACTGATCTTCTGACTTGTCTGAATTCTGACTTGTGATGCAGCCTGAATCATAATCACACCGTGTTCGTTTGTTGGCCAGAGGAGAACTGGCCCCCCGAATGAGCCTGGTTTCAAGGTTTTTTTCTCCATTCTGTCACCTGATGGAGTTTGGGTTCCTTGCCACTGTCGCCTCTGGCTTGCTTATTCAATGATATTATTGATCTGACTGTACTGACACTGTTGTGTGAGAACTGAACAGAGCTGGACGAAAACATCCCTGTTTTCTGCAGAACTGCTTTACAGATGAAATGAACTCATTTAATAATTGATTATCTTTACAACGGAACTGAATCAACACTGAACTGACTTCAGCTGAAATGCATCATTTTCCTGTTATCACTCTTAAGTTGCTTTGAAGCAATCTGTATTGGATAAAGCGCTATATAAATAAAGGTGACTTGACTTGACACACACAACACAAATTATGTTGGAAAACTCAAACACTGATCTGTAAAAAATATAAAAATAAATCCCTGATACATATCGTTTTGTAGCCGTCATAGCACTCAAGAATCAGTGATGTGCAACAAAAAAATCCTGCCAAAACATGAACTGTTATAAGAAATAATATCAACCTTCATCAGCTGTTTTTTTTTCTTTTTAAAGCTGTCAATATTTACTTCTTTTAATCTGTTTCTGCTTGTTTTTTTCTCCACAGAAGGGAAACACTCTGCGTCCCATTGATGCAGAAGTGAAGGTAAGACACATATCACTCAGATCTGAAATTTGTCTCATCACATGTCTATACACTACTGTTTAAAAGTTTGGGGTCAGTCATTTAAAAAAAAAAGAAATTAGAAAGATTTCTATTTAAAAAAACTTTCTATTCAAAGTATCCTGCAAAAAAAATTTCTGTTTTCAACATTGCTAATAATAAGTAATGTATTTTAATGACCAAATCCGCATATTAGAAGAATTACATGACATTGAAAACGTGAATAATGGCTGCTGAAAGCTTTGACAGGAATTAATTACATTCTTACATTAAAAAGGAAAACAGTTCTTTTAAATTGTAATAATATTTCACAGTATCACTGCTTTTATTGCATTCGTTTTAAATCAAATAAATGCAGCCTTGGTGAGCAAGAAATGACTCCAATCTTTTGAATGGCAAAGAAGCAGCTGTAAGATCAGTTTCTTCTCTTTCTATGTCCGTTTGTGATTGGATGATGAACAGCTCTTGCTTGTCTTGCACTAGCCATTTTTGCTGGTTTGCAATGTTACTTCTCACTAAGGAGGAGCAGAACTACATCCTTCCTTGAGTTTTGCTTATTTGTGCATTTATCTTCCCTCTCTCCTCCTCTCATTTTTCTTATCTGTCTCCCTTCCTCCCGCCTCATTCTCTTTATAGTGCTGCTTCAGCGTTTTCAGAAGTGTCAGATTAAACAACCAATCATTACATTATATTTAATGTGGACATACAATTGCATTAATCCTATATGGTAACTATTTTCACTACCTGCAGCTCAAAGGCAGAAGAACATCTCACCTGTCCCAGGACAAGGATGGGCAGCCTCATGATCCTCTGCTGCTTCAGGTGGTACGCAAGGGTCACAGGAGGAGATTAGGTGCGGCCGCTGGCACGGCTCGGCTCATGGCTATCACAGACTGCATGGACAACGGCACCCAGACCGACATTAGCTTCCAGAACTTCCTGAATGGGGACAGAGGGTCTTACCCAAGTAGTGGATCACCAATGCCTCCACCCTCCCCTCCCCTCGCCCAGCTGGTGGAGCCGTACCTGCTGAATGACCTGTGAGCGTCTTCACTGTCCTCTGCCATTTTATCAGTTCTCATTAGTGTCTCTGCGGGTTTGTGAGGTGGACAAATGTTGCATGCACTGAAAACCTGCTGAAGAAACATGTGTGTTTTCACAGTGGTTCTCTGGGGCAGGAATATAGTGATCCAAATGACTACTTCAATGTGGCTAACCATGAGGTGGATCAACAAGAAGAGCTGGAATATGAGGTGGGAACACCAACTAATCAAAATAAATCCTTTACAATAATTACAAATAATTAACCACTACATTTAACAAATTAAATACTGCTGATAAAATTGGTGAGCAAAGTTATGATTTTTTTTTTTTTTTTTTTACCTGGATGGTGTAAACGGCCAGAGCTGTTTCATTGGTTGATGTCAAAGTCAAAGCTCCAATATAATAATAAGTAAATAAGTAAAACCTGTCAAAATATAGAGAAACACATTATTTAGGTAAAAATGTAACATAATATAATATAACATAATGTTATTATTATAAATGACGTTGTACATTGTAAATAAAAGTAAAATGCAAACATGCTCAAAATCTGCAAACAAAACAAAACAAAAAAATCGGTTGATTCAAAACATGAAATTCAGCAAAAATAAATATACAATTATTCTGGATTCCCCCCCCCCCCCCCCCCCCAACAATCGCCTGTTAACTAAAAAAATATACAAATAATGATTTTATTATATTGGAAACTGTGCAATCTCTGATTGCAGATTCCACAGGATTACAACTGTGACCAAGCACATACTTCCACATAAACCTTTTATTTTTAGAAAAGGCATGCTGTTTGATTCATTGGACTTTCCAGGAAGAAGAAAAAAAAACTCATTCTAAGGGAAAACATTTGATTAAATGGGTTAACATAACCAGTTACCCAAACACATTGCGACAACCTCCAATATCTCATACATTTGCTTTGGCTGGCTTTCTGTCTCTGTGCATCTTTAAAGCAGAGGGTTTAATCTTCACCCCATATAAGTAGCTCTCCTTCTACATCTCTGTCAGGAGGTGGAGCTGTACAAGTCGAGTCAGCAGGATAAACTGGGGCTAACAGTCTGTTATCGGACAGACGACGAGGAAGACCAAGGCATCTACGTTGGAGCAGTGAGTGATCACATGAGGCCGGATGTCATGTTTTACTGCTCAACACAACAGTAAAAAAGTATTCAACTGTGATATTTAAGTTATCCAGCTGATATTTAAACATTCCCTGTTCTTAGGTGAATCCAAACAGCATAGCAGCAAAAGATGGAAGAATCAGAAAGGGGGACAGAATATTACAGGTCTGTATTCTTCTCAGATGTGCTTTTAGAGTCAAATGACATCAACAATAATTACAAATGAACTGACATCATAATGTCATTATGTTCATTTGGGATGCAGGCCAAGTGCTTCTAGATACAATCGGTCTATAAACAGATAATTGGTGAGACTTTTAAGACAGCCCACACAGTTTCTCTAGAGAATAATTACAGAACAGCAAACACAGAGTGACATGATTCCATTGTCTTGACAAGTTCTTAGTTTATTCTGGTTTCTGATGCGACACTGACACATCCATTACCTTGGACTCAGTTGAAACATGACCACCCATTTACTGATGTTTTGATGTTATATTATTTTTGCCTCTATATTATATTATTTTTTATTTTGTCTGACCCAAGACTGGTTGCCCACTGAAGCTAAGCAGGGTTGAGCCTGGTCAGTCCCTGGATGAGAGACCTCCTGGGAAAACTAGGTTGCTGCTGAAAGAGGTGTTAGTAAGGGGAGTAGGGGGTGCTCACCCTGTGGTCTGTGTGGGTCCTAACGCCCCAGTATGGGGACACTATACTGTCAAAAAGCACAGTCCTTCGGATGAGACGTTAAACCGAGGTCCTGACTCTCTGTGGTCATTAAAAATCCCAGGATGTCCTTTGGGTTTAACCCTGGCATCCTGGCCAAATTTACCCATTGGCCTCTATCCATCATGGCCTCCTAATCATCCCCATATATACTGAATGACTTCATCACTCTGTCTCTCCACCAAAAAGCTGGTGTGTCGTGGGTGTTCTGGGACAATATGGCTGCCGTCGCATGCAGGAGGATGCTGCACATTGGTGGTGGTTGAGGAGATTCCCCCTTCCATATGTAAAGCGCTTTTCTGGGTACTCAAAGCGCTTTACATATGGAAGGGGGAATCTCCTCAACCACCACCAATTACATGTAATGTAAATGTAACGAATTATTATTATTTTGGAAAAGAGCTGACATTTGGTGTGTGATGGCTCCGTCTGTCCCACATTAGATAAATGGCATGGAAGTTCAGAACCGAGAGGAAGCGGTGGCCATCCTGACCCGTGAGGACAGCACCAACTTCTCATTACTGCTGGCCAGACCAGAGATAGAGGTAAAGACTTATAACAGAGGTAAAAGCCTCAACACACCTGCCTGGAAGTTTCTAGGATGCCTAGTAAGACCTTGAATAGCAAGTTCAGGTGAGTTTAATTGGAGTTGGAAAGTCTGCAATCAAAAATTAGAACTCTTCCAAGACCAAAATTCAGTTTAATCTGAATGTAGCTATCTCTATATATGTTTTGTCAAGTCCTACATTTTTTTTAAAGTGGTAGCATCTAAATTAACTGGATTCATTAGAAAATAGAAACATACTGACACAATTACTGTATTATACACCAATAGTAGTAATTTTAAATGTCATTATATTTTAAAGGTATTTACTTTTTACAGCACATTTTTTTAGGAGAAACCTAAAAGAAACAAAGCGGACGTTAAAATGCCATATAACTTAGATCTCCATGAAATCATCTGCACATCCTCGGAGCAATAAAACGGTCCTCTAGGCACACACATACAAGCACAATTCAAGTACACATACACACAAAAATAGGCTTTTTGAGGCACATGCAAAGTTAATGGACCCACGCTGTCCCCAACGACAGCAGATCCTAAAATTAATGGCTTATTTTGCTGAAGGAAGGGAAACAGAAGTCTCACATCACTCAATGTCTCAATCATGTGATCACTCTTAGTGATGGGCATCAAGGATTTGTGGCAGTTCCATTAACACTATTCCACAAGGAGGTGAAGAGTGAGAGGGAACAAAGCTGCTTTACAGAATGCATGGGGAAAAGTGCACTATTAGAAAGACATGCAGAGAGGAGGAGCAATTGAAGGAATTGATGGAAGGTATGAAAGAGAGGGCAAATGAAGAGGTATAGAGCAAGGTACACTAGGCAGAGAAAGGAGATGATTTTTATTTCCACAGTCAGCTGTTTCCGAGGACATACACATCTGATTAAGCTGTGCGCATACACACTCATGGTCTAGGTATTTATAAAAAACATAATAAATTAGTAAATTTGCACTTTGCTCATTATTAGAAACACAATCATCTAATTACTTCAATTACTGTGATGCTATTGTATTACTATAATGTAAAGCCTTGAATATTCTTCAATAACCAGTGCTGCAATCTTACTTATGCATTTATATGTATTCGTTTGGCAGATGTTTTCATCCAAAGTGACTAACAAATAAGAATAACACACACAGCAGCAATTAATCTGAACTAAATCTACAAGCTATATCTATTCAAACAAATTTGATATTCTATTTAACATTTAACAGCATTTTTACTCTTGCACCACTCATTTATTATCTGTTCTAAATGAGCACCTATATTTCAGAGCTGTATATATGGTGGTCTAAATTTATGACTTTGTAACTGTGTCAATTGTTCTGCAATTTCTGGGAAACCAGTGGAGATATTGAAAAAAAATGGCTGTTGGTTATTGTGTGCAGCCAGCAAAAATCATCTATCATGAGCACAGCCGTCAGCTAATGAATAAAACAGGGAGCTCATTTCAGCCAACGCTCAGCACTAACAAGATCAGAACAAAAAGAGGGCCATTTTGTACCTCTCATTCTCATCACCCTCCCAGCAACACAAAATGATTAATGATGAACTGAAGACCAGAAACAAGTGGAGCTGTCAGACCAAGAGTGGAAGAGATGGATAGAGATCGAGAGACAGTAATAGAGAAACAGAAAGGGAAAAGAGAATGGTTGACTAACAGAAAGAGATTACAGGCTGACTAAATCAAGAGGAGAGGAAGAGAGACATACTAATCAAGTGACAATTGCAATTGATTATTGTCTTCTTTCTATAGACAAAGATACTCTGGGAAAACAAATCAATACATCAATAAATCTGTATTCATCAATAAACCTGTAGGAGGATATAACATAATTTTCACAAATTAACATTAACAAATTAACATTCAGAGTAGTGCCACTTTGTTACAAAGTATGTCACAAGAAAATAAATGATTAATTTCCATGTCCAGGTCTCAATGATCATGTAAGATAAGGCTACACTTTATTTGAAGGTGTCATTGTTGTTACAGTGTAATTATAAATTTCCTGAGTAATATTAATTAACAACATTTGTTGTAGAAGTACTTACTATAGGGTTATGGTTAGAAATAGGGTTTGGTTTAGAGTTAGTTGCATGTAATTGCATATAATTTACTGTTATTACATGCAACATGTGTAACAAGAACACTATAAAATACAGTGTAACCTAAGACAAACTATATGTATAATAATACAGATGTATAAAATATATTAATACACATATTAGAACATTACTATAAATAACAGACCCCACAATCCTTGTGTTACAACTAAATATGTTGAACACATTTAAACAAATGTCTATATTGCCATCTAGTGTTGAAGTGTATTACTGTATATATGTACTTTTATGACAAAACTGGTGATGTCAACCTCTAACTCTTCCCCTCTTTGCTTGCTTACTTTTCCCCTTCACTTCCTTTTTGTGCCTTTCCCCTAGACGGACACTCATTTGGACCCAGAGGAGCTTGATTGTGAGTTACCTGTAGAGATGAGTGTGGACAGCCTAAATACCTCACATCTGTCCGGCCTGTACCATTTCCGCCAAAAGAGAACCCAAGCAGGCATTCCTGAAGAAGCCCTACATCGGGAGACACCCATGCTCAGCCTAGCAACCCTTAGCAACAGTCAGGAGCTCGACAGTGGTGTGGGCCGCACTGATGAGAGCACAAAGAATGAAGAGTCCTCTGAGCATGACATCCTTCTGGGCGACGAGCAGACCAGCGCCTCCAACACAAATGCCACCAACACACCTGGCAGCTTGCGCAAGTTCAGGCCCAGCAGGAACAGTGGAGGAGGGAGCGACACGCCATCTCCACTGTTCCCTCTCCGAGAGCTCCACCTCAGCACAGACTCACTGGAATGTGGAAGCGTGGGTGGAGGGTACCTTCACGATCCCATCAGCGGGATGATGATGCCGGGTCTGACAGAGGAGGAATGCGAGAGGTACAGGCAACTTCTGGAAATCAAGTGTCGTTATGAAAAGAGGATGAAGAAAGTGCAGCAGGTTCAAGAAGGGAAGCAGAAAGAAGGAGAGGGACAAAAGGAAGATGAGAATAGGGAGAGGGAGGAGACTCTGGATGAAAACAGTAACGAGAACCTGACTCCACATGAGATGGCGCTTTTGGAAGAGGAAATGAGACACCTTGAGTTTAAGTGCCGGAACATTCTACGGGCACAGAAGATGCAGCAGTTAAGAGAGCGCTGTTTGAAAGCCTGGCTGATGGAGGAAGAAACATCTGGCCGGGCATCTGCAGAACCTCAGGGGTCTCCATTGCATGAGCTATCTGACATCAACGAACTTCCTGAGAAGGAACGGTTGGACAAGGACAGCACCAGCGCTTACAACACTGGGGGAGAGAGCTGCAGGAGCACGCCTATGGTGAGTGAGAATCGACTTCCAGTTTCTCAGTTGGAAGAGTCAACAAGCCCTCTGCTAAGTAGACACAAGGATCGACCAACCTGGTGTGAAAGGGGACGAGCAAGCCTCAACAGTTCATATTCACCAAGCAGCTACAAGAAGTTTCAGACTAACACCCCTATGAACCAGAAATACTACTCACTCTCCAGAGAAGGAACCATCCGTCGCATGCCTGAAGGGGTGACACACGGCGGCAATTCTAGGGTGAGCAGCCATGACAGGAATGGTGGTCGTAGTGCTGAGTCAAGTCCTTACTTCACTCGACGCCGTCATTCCAACTGCTTCACTCCAGAACGCTACCAGAGTTGCATGCATCTGGGATCTTCACTTTCCGAGAGTTCTGGACCCTTGGATAGAGCCGTGGAAGGAGAAAGTGAGGCACCAATGGGCGGCAGTGACCGTGAGGGCCAAAGGAATGGCACTTTTGGGTCGCTGCCTCACCCCAGCCCAGTGAAGCTTTCTCTGGCTTTACCTTTGCCGCTTCCCCCTGCTTCACCACGCATGGAGTGGAAGGTGAAGATTAGGAGCGATGGGACACGCTATGTGGCCAAACGTCCCGTCCGAGACCGACTCTTGAAAGCCAGAGCAATGAAGATCCGTGAGGAGCGTAGTGGAATGACAACTGATGACGACGCAGTGAGCGAAATGAAGATGGGACGCTACTGGAGCAAAGAAGAGCGTAAGCAACAGCTTCTGAGGGCCCGTGAGCAGCGCAGACGCAGAGAGTTTATGATGCAGAGTCGTTTGGAATATCTCCGGGATCGTGGTCTGGACGTGGGCAAGGAGAGCCAGTCAGAGTCAGGTCAGAACTCAGCCTCAATCCTAGAGCTCAGTCAGAAAAAAAGCTCCAAGAAACGCAATAGACGCATACTGGACAACTGGATCACCATCCAAGAGCTACTGGCACATGGCTCTCGCTCTCCAGACGGGACAAAGGTGTACAATCCTCTTCTGTCCGTTACCACAGTCTGAAATCAAAGGATGGTGAGGAAGGACAACAGAAAGAGAATCTATTTTATCCAATTACTATCTTGAACAGTTCTCAACTGTTTCAAAGGATCATCATTCCACTTTACTATTATGGCTGAGCAATGTTTAGCATCTATCACCCTCTTTAATTTAACATTCCCATTCTCTGAAGTCCTTAATATCTTATGCTGTGATGATTCATGTGAATGTACATTTCAAATCAAAAGACTAGTTAAAACTCATTAAGAAGTTTTTTGGGTGGTGGTACTCTTAAGTTCTTGGAAAAAACTTGATTTTCTTGATTACTGAATGTGACATTCTCAATATACATTACTGACACTCCTCTGGGGTCAAGCATATATGCTTTAAAGAATTTCTGTTTAACTGTTTAAACTAAAAGACAGCACAGTGACAAAGACACTTTGTCACTGTGGAAGTTTATGAATGTTGACTGAACGTACACAGACAAGCACAACAGACACACAAACTGCACCCAAACAGACAGGTCTCTTTGTGGGGTTGAGCAGGAAAACTGTTCACTCTAAATCTGCCCATTGCAAGCAAATATATAGAACAAATGGAATTCATACGGTAATTTCCTTATAGCTGAACCAAAAGAAAAACAATTCAATTTCTTTTGAATTCAACTGTTGAATTCTTGATTTTCATTGACAATAGCAGGATTGGATAACAATAAGACTTTTGTACAACTTACTGCTCTAACTACAGCATCATATAAGTGCGTAACCTGTGCAGACACAATCATGCTTAACTTTTCTACAGAGACGTGGTGCTGAACTGAGATTTGTACTGCTTATTTGTGATAGTCTGTTTACACTATTCTCCTCTACTGTTTATTAGGACCCAAATAAGACAAAAGCACAATGTAAGCCACATTATGCTTTTTAATTTTGAATGTATGGTAATTTTTTTCCGAACACCCCAAGTCATCACAGAGAGACTTTCACAAGCCTATGTGGCCTAATGCGAACACATACTAATCACCAGCAAAAGGGGAAGCACAAAACACTCCGGGATCCTGAAATATAACCAGCTACAAAATGAAAACAGATCGTACATTTTAATATACTGTTATAAGGAGCATTTAACCTGAAGTGGTTCACACAACAGTGTAGCAAATGAGCTAAAAAATTAAAGGATATTCTTATTAATAAACAAATGATTGATATACAAATTTGTTAGCATATTATATAGCAAGTGTTCAAAACTGTTTGAAGATTTTGTAGAAAATGGCCTTAAGAGTTTTGACCAGTTTGGTGATGAGAGTCACTTGTTCAGCTCAACTAATTTTGCATGACTTTGACTATGATTTTGACTATATTGTACATGCCAGAAACACAATGAACTTTAGTGGAAATTTAACTTCCATTTCTCAGTATACAAATGTATGTGACCAGAGTACTTTATCCAGCATCATTTGTCATTTCTGTCGTTCTGGTGTTAGATAAAAATGTAGAAACCTACAGTTGTACTCGAATGGTACCTACCTGTTGACTGATATCAATAGTCCTAATTATACAATGTGTAATGTGCATTAGTTCTTGAGTGGTTATTTCAATGCATTGCTGAGACAGTATAAAAAATATAACATTTTAGACAAATAAAATGATTTTGTATGCTTAATATAAATCTTCATATACTAATTGCACACGTACACATATACATCCATACTGTACACACACAGCCAAACAGTCACTCAAAAATATTTTAAATATTAATAAAAAACAACAACTTTCCAACAGCAAGAACATGTTTTATAGAACGAGAGCAATAAATTATCACATAATGTCTCTGAATTAGTTCTGCATCGAAACCTCAACATATATACAAATAAAACTTCATACAATTAATCATTTTAAATATAGGAACTGCTCTTACACACACATACTGATACAATTTTACAATTACAATTTGTTCCAATCCCCCCCCCCCCCCATCCCCAGATCCTTAAAATGTAAACAATGGTTCATGTTCCCATTCCCAGCCAGATATGGATTCCTCAGTCCAGTGCAGAGTAAATATGGCATAATTATATCAGCTAATATATACATTCAGGTTTATACAGCATCATTCAGCTAAGTGCAGACATGCAACACAGGGCACGGTGGCGCAAGACATTAGCGTGTCAGAAACCAGAACACGCATCTCAAAAAACTACTGGATCTTTTTTTTTATACCTCATACATCTCTGCTTTATTTGTGTTTGAGCTCAGCATGCCCCAGCACTCAGGACTCTTAATACAAGCACAAGAGCAAAGCGTTAGAGTTAGAGAGAAGCAAAACCACCCATAGGAAAAAAATGTGAAATGTATTGAACGGCCCTCTAAATTCAGATCACGCCACAGCTTATGAACAGGGACATGGAGTTCCTGTTTGTCTACAAGGGCCTTAAGGTTTCCAGTAATGGATAATGCTAGCAGATTTGAAGTTCTGGAATCAATTACCTGAATAAACACTATTGTGGTTTGACTAAATGTATTTTATAGAGGCAACGGAAATAATAATAATAAAAAATAAAGGGCTGGGCCTAGCAGCAGAGATCAATATTCTTATTTAGGATGTTTTCATCCTTTTAGGACTTTTAATAAATATAAAAATAACTCCTCAACACAAACATCACTAATGTAATACTTTGAATTAGTCTGCTTAATGGAGAGAGAACGGCCCATTTTGGTTGTTGAAGGGGAAAGTAGAAGTAGAAAGAGATAGGGACTGTTTGGAGGGACGCAGATGGTATAGGGACTTTGGATCCTAGGCACTGATGATTTTTAACTTGTGTATGTGCAAAACCAGAAACTTTCAGCAAAAAGATCTTCACAATTAAAGATGCTTTTACACTCTCTCAGTGTAAATGAGTGTGTGTGCATGAATTGAAGTCCTCTAAACACACTTTCATATAAAAAAATAAGAGGGCACTGACATTGGACATGCAACTCTTGCAAAATTCACAATATTAAAAGAGCAAGTTGCTCAAGTGTGTATGGCTTCTGGCAACAATAAGTTTTACATGGATCATATAGCATTTATGTGGATAATATAGTTTTATAAACTTGCTGCAAAACATTTACCTGAAATCAGCAGTCCAATTAGTTGAATAAACATTAATTGTACACACACAAAAAAAAACCTAGCCTGTTGGTCTGTCTAAAAAAAGCTCTTAGAAAACACTCAGCACGGCACTCTGCTAAAACATAACCATGTATCATATTAGCAGTAGCTTTTACACCAAAAAAGCAAGAATTATATCAGTAGTATTTGACATCATAATAGTAATAAATTTACCCATTAAAATCACCCATATACAGATTTTCTTTAAAATTCAGTTACTTCTATATATTTAAGATATCTGTAACACATTTTAACTGTGAGTCCAGAAATACTTAATTCATTTCAAAGTTTCAATGAAACTCTCTACGAACATCCTGCTCCTCCAACAGGTCATCCAGAGAAAATATCCAGGTGTATCACAATGTAACCACTTTTACCGAACCGCCAATGACAAACCTTTACAGTAGGCACTAAGGTTATGTAATGAATTGCCAAATATAAATGTTTCATTGGTCAGGTGAGATTGTTTAAATAAAAAGACAAAAATAATAGTGAAATGTCAACGCTAAAAAGGGAAGGAGAGATGCTGAGGTAACAGGTGGCAGGAAATAAATGCAGTGCTGATTTTTCTATTTATCCATGTCTTGATTATTGGTCGTTATTAGTTATGACTCTTTTGTGTATGTTACATTTAGGTTTGTTACGCTAGGTTAGACTTAATTGTCTTATATAATAGAAAAAAGAAATATCTACTAAACAATTTAAATCTCTTTCTACACATTCTGTTTAATAAACGAAAGGCGCAAATTACATAATGACTTCACTGAGGTCTTCAAAAAGGATTTTTACTGTTATGGCTGACTTATTGCAAACCTGATGCCCAGCCTCTTCAAGACAAAAACAAAAAGCAAAAAACAGTTTCAAATAGTTCCAAAATAGTGATATTTTTTTTTACTGTGCAGATTTAAGTGAAGTTTTTCCAGCAATTCCCACCCCGTCCCTTCACTCACAAGTCAAGATAAAAGTTTAAAAGAATCAAAATATAGTGTTTGGCATCCCTCTAAGTGCATGCTGGCCCTTTTTACACGCTGAGGAATACGATTGACAATTTTGAGGAATGTATTGAGCAAACATTTTCTTACTGACCCTGAAATGATTGTCATCTGAGACGCATGAAAACTGAAAAGACTACAAATAAAAAAAAAAGTTCAGTTTCTTTAATAATATGCACTCGTCTGTCTGCTTATGCATCCATGTTGAGTGTTTGAAGAGTTCACCATCATCGTCTTCTTAATCTGAATCTTAAATTCATTAGTCTGATTTAAGTTGGCACCCCCTTTCCCCCTGTAGCCTTTTCCTTTGGCAGCAATCCAGGTCAAATTCAACTCAAACTCTTACAAACACTTCATCTGCTTCACCATTGTCTCCATTAGGCTCCTCAGATCTTCAGTCGGAGATTTTATGCTGTCACACAGCCTTTGTTTTGTATGGCAGCGGACAGCAAGAGGCTGTTCAGGCTAGCAATGAGCATGTAGCCAGCCAGGTTTCCCACTCTACACGTGGGGGAAGCGGATGTGGAAGTAACAGAGTCTGAGTATGGTATGTTTCCTCTTGCCTGGTCTCCGACTTCTCCGCGTTGAGACTCTGTGCCCTCTGCTGTGGCTTACCCTCACACCACCGTGCTGATGCGGTTGATAGGTTTGGATTTGGAGCTGCCGATCGTGCTGCTGTTGCCGGCTCCGCCTCCGCCTCCGCCCCCTGGGCCGCCCGACAGCACCCCCATGGGTCCCGGGAGCTGCGGGGCTAGTGGGGAGAGCGGGGTAAGAGGGGTGAGAGGGGTATGTGGTGACGGAGGAGGTAATGGGGAATGTGGTGGAGGAGGCGGAATGGAGGAAAGGGGCGGGTACTGTGGTATGTAGTGGGCGGGGCCCTGGGGTATGTGCCGGGCGGTGATGGCGGATGGTGCCTGAGGGGGCGGCGAGAAAACGAAATGAGTTTGATGGGCAGAGTGATGCAGTAAGGGGTGAGGGCTGTGGGCATGGACGGGATGGCTGTGGGTATGAGAGTGAACGTGGGAGTGGGCGTGAGGGTGGGGCTGAGAGTGAGACAGAGTAAGAGGAAGCTTGCCGGTAGGACCGGGCACCCGTACGTGGCGTATGGTATTGGGGTGCACGTGGTAGAAGTTGAAAGGGGCGATGGGCGAATGGGGCGAATGCGGGGACAGAGGCGGTGGAGTGCATGCCATATTGCCGTAACGGCCTTGTTGCATAGCATGATGGGATAGTTGCTGCTGGAGCTGGGCGTGTGAAGGAGCGGGCGGCCCACGTCGTGGGAGGGACCCTCGTTGTAGGGTGTGATGGATGGGTGGGTGGCCAGGGGTGGCGACCTGCACGTGATACCGATGATGATGGTGGTAGGGGGGTGGAGGCTGCCCAAAGTTGTTGTGACAGTACTGAGCGTGCAGCGCTTGGATCTTGGAAGGCCCACCGGGGTCTGACTGGCTGAGGGCGGAGGGGGACGGAGGCGGCGGTCCTCCTGTAGTAGGAGGTGGCACGGGGGCCGGGTAATGTGGCCCGGGGGGAATAAGGGGAGCAGGGGGTTTGGCGCGTTTGCTCCCAAACAGGGAGCCCAGGAAGGAACCGGAATTGCTCCCTCCAGAACTGCTCCCCGGCCCCCCACCTCGATCGTTGATGCCAGGGACCCCCCCTATATTGCCTACGGCATTGTGAAGCTGCCCCGGCCCACCCCCCACCCCTACTCCGGGGCTCAGGATGGGGCGGTGAGGCCGGTAGTCTTCCAGCCCGTAGCAACTGGGGACAGCACCCCCCATGGGCAAACGCTGATGCGGCTGAGGACTGTTAATGATGGATCCCTATAGTGTGCAAAAACACACAAAGCCAGACAGTCATTGCACTGAAAATCTGAGAGGACGGACAGTGTTGCTACTAATGAGTGACAGACATGCCCCAGTTACTTCGTCAAATAAATAATGCATGCTTTTTTTTTCAGGGATACACTGATATTAAAATTCTGGCCAATACGGATAAGCAATAATGATTTATGTTTTAGCAGATAATCAATTAATACCAGATATTAAAATGCTATACTATTTTTTCTAAATAAAAACAAACAAACAAAAAACATTAAAACAAGTTAATTTTAGTGTCATAATGTACACTAGGGTTGTCACGCCGCGGTAACCAAAATTACAGTAGTCGGTACCAATACCATTACTATTTGATACCAATGGTCGTACCAATATTATTACTACTATTTGACAATAAAAAATATTAATTAAATTAAATTAGTTTTGATTAGCTTGACCAAAGTGACCTGCCAGAACTGACGCTACGCTTGATCTGTCAATCACTTGAGGTACGTTCAGCACCTGCTCACTCAGATCTACACTTTGTTGGTAATAATGAAAGGATTTGCAAACTCTGGTGTGTTTTGAGCGGTGTTGAGAGGATTCTGACTAACTAAAACACCTCTGATTGGCCCTTGCGTTCACGCACTCAACAGATACTGCATGTCTGTGATTGGGTACAATAATCAACGTTTCAAAAACACGTTGTAAATAGAAACCTCTTCACAGAGCGCTTACACAGATACACATGAGAGCGTTTGAAAGCGAATATACACAGTACTCAGTACTACCGGTACAGCAGAAATGCTGGTATTGTCACATTTTTTACATTTCAGTACCAACGTGGTACTGTTAATGTACAGTATGAAAATAATATTTATTTTGAGATTTACAAGATTAAAGACTACATTTATTGAATACTTATAACATCATTATTTTTAAATGTAATCTTTAGCAAATCATATAACGTTTTGATGTATGAATTCACTTGTAGCATTTAAAATGTATACATTTTAATTGCTTTAATATATTATAGAATTTATAATACACTAAATAATTGTTGGCTTGTCTGCATCAGCCAGAATTTTAATATCAGAACATGCTTAATTTTACGAGCAAGAAAATGATGTAGCTTGAGACTGTACACACATCTCCTGGGCACCAGAAAACCAAAAAGCCTTTCGGCATTAACTACAAACAGCCTCAAACATCTTGCAAAAGTTAGAAATGTCAATGTCACATTAAACAAATCACAATGCAGTCAGATGTTTGTGATGATCGACTATACAGTATATATAACAAACTAAAGCTTCCTTTTTAGAGCGCCTCACTCATTTACCCAGGCAAAACATGTATCTGAATCTTAAAACAGAAGCAATCCTCAAACACTGATTTGAGGCGTTATTATACCAAGCAATGCATTAGTTAGTAGTATTTAGTAGCAAATGCACCAGGCATAACCTATTAGACATGCTGCATGCAAAGCAAACACAGATTACTGTTTTTACACAATACGAAATAAAACATGCTGCACTTCACCAAACAAAAATCACAAATTCATGCATAGCCGTTTTTGTTAAATACAGTACAGTGGACTCATGCACTAGAGAAAGCTGCAACACAAGATCATTCCATTTCAACGTGATTACGAGCAGTTAGTAGATCTGTCCGACTTACTTCAATGGTACTATCCAAAGAGCCAACACTGTTTCTACGGCCTCGCTTTCCTGCACCCAACCAAGCACAGCAAGGTCAGAGTCAACGGCCATGGAGAAAACATTTTCCAAAACCTCATACTGGGTGTTTGACCCTGGATGATCCATTTACAACGAACAATGTGTACAAATTATCTACACAAACATCTACTGACATAACCAAACTTCACGGCACTCAACTCGACATTGGCTGTGTTCAGAAACCATATAAAAGAGTAGTACGTCACATGACCACATTACATTCGTGTTTAAGTCTGCGAGTTAATACTCTACAAAATAAAATGTCAATTTTGTATTTGCGTAAATATGTCTTAACTCTTGGCAACCTGATTAAACATTGAGAAAAGAAAGACATTTCAAAGATTTTGGCAGCTATTACATCATGGAAATAGGTGGCCACAGTCAAGATGTTTGCATTGTGTGATACAGTATTAAGGGCGTGACACACCAAGCCGACGTCAAAGAACTAGCGGCGACAAAACCCGACTGTGTCGTCGGCTCACGTTGGCTGCGTCTGGGCCAAAAAGCTGCGCTTGAACATCACACCAAAAGGACTAAAGGCGACTGCCAACTAGCATGTGGGTTCTGCACCTGCTTGTAAGGAAATAACTGTCTATATCAGCAGGCATCAAAAGTCTTTATTTGTCATTCAAAAAGGTAAACCGAAACTAGAACTGCAGATATACAAACCATAAACAAAGCAGCACTTGCTTACCATTTTGAATATCAATCATGCTGATCCCTTTCTCAATTCCAGGCGGCTCATGCGGTTATGGAAATATTTGAGTATTTGAATGCTCAGGTAAGATTACATAAAATTATAACAGTTCTTTGCTTGCGTTCATCACTTTCACTTTTATTCTTGTCCAGATTCACTAATCATTCTTAAGAATAACATTTTTCTTAACTGCCAATTTCTTATTATTTTCTAACTTAAGAAAAAAGATAAGAATATTTTCTATTCCCAAAAACTTTTCTTATAATGTTCATATATTTTTTATTAAGATTGTTCTTAAGATCAATTCATATTCCCGAAAAGAATGTTCTTAAAAATCATCTTAAATAACTTCAGAAAGTTAGGATAACCTCAAACCAACATAACATGATCTCTCTCACCGACGGCTCAGATGCAACATGCTGAATCGGGCGAACTGCTGCCGACATGTGGAACACACCGCAAAAAATAACCTGACAGACGCTCACTGACGGCCCGCGAATGGCCGACTGTCGGCTTGGTGTCACGGCCCTTACACAGAGTCTGCTCCAATGTACACTGCACATTTGAACAAATGTAGAACCTATGCATTTTATGCATACTGTGACATACTAGTGCACATACTAATCACTGCAAATTGCACTTTGACATTCAAAATACAGCCACTGAATTAAAAAAAGTATGCAAAGACATAATGTGCCATTAGAGGGCACTGTCTGTCAATCTGTACTTCATTACAGAAGTTCAGCACTCCACAACTGTTACAGTATGGCACTCATGATCAAACTGTGGTGGATTTATAAATATTTCCCCGCTATAAATATATATATATTTTTTTTAACTCTACAGTCCACAGAAATCTGGGGAGCATAATTAAATGTGCTAATTTGTCTTGCATTTTTTGAGAGCCTAGTTGAAATAGAAGGGAGTTTGTTGTGTGAATGGGTGTTGTACCTGTCTCAGAGAGGTCTCTCAGTGAGGAGCTAAGTGCGGTTCGTTTAAGCCCCTCCCCTGCTGCGTACGTGTCATCCAGACTGGGCCTTCCCAGAGTGCCGTTCACAGCCTCAGTCTTCATTCCGCCAACCCCGCCCACATCTCCACTCATGAGCCCTGGACGCATCACACCTTTCTGCTTCTCTAACTCAGCTACGGAGAACAGATATAAGGGATTGACAATTACCGTAATGAACATTAACCATAATGAATCATTTATCAGCCACACAGCAAATTTCTGAAATTTCAGTTTGCATACAGGAAAATAACCTCATGCTTTGGATCTGTCGAGTGTGAAAGAACAGATACTATAAAAAGATTTCTTACATTCTACACGGTATTTCTCCATATCCTGAACCTCAGCGATGCTCTCACGCAGGTCGCTGGTGAAGCGTGTTCGGTCTTGCTGGCTCGGCGCGTTGAACACGATCAAAACCTTACGCTCACTGCCGGGCATTGCTGATGTCAGTCTGATACCGTGAGGATAGTCTGAGAGAGAGGAATAGAGATAGAGGGTAAATGCAGTCAATTAAAGAGAGAACCAGATAAAGAGGCATGTGCTGTGCCTCATGTAATTAGTTATAGATCTATTATTTTGACAAAAGTCCACAGATACACACAAGAACTGTATTAAAATTAAACCCAGAAAAGCTAGTTCCCTAACACATTCAACAATATTTTTTATAACCTTGGTTTTGTTTTCTAGTTAAAATATCTAAGGACCTTCAAACAAAATAAATGTACTGTGTGTACTATCAAAATTATATGTAAATTGTTTTCTTACCCTATTCGTTTTTCTTTAATAAGCATAAAGAGGTTTATGTTTAAAACAATAAAAAACAACTGACCAATGGGGTAAGAAAAATACATTTAATTCAAAATAGATTGTCTGAATCACATGACATTTTACTTTAAGCTAATTTATCTTCTTTGAAGGATGTTTATTTATTTTGTTAGTCGAAAACAAGTGCAAAACAAACACTGATTAAGATAAATACAGAACAGATGTTCTCAGAAATCAACAGAATAGCTCCAATCGAGATGATGGCATGAGGATGAAACCAAAACACCACCTACATGAAAGCAAGAAAAGGGTAATGAGAGAGCACCGAGCTGAGATGGAGTGGATGAGAGCAGAGTGTGTAAACGAGCTGGAATGGAGTGATAGTATAAATAAAGAAGGAGGGACAGATGGTGAGACAGATGGAGGGATGAATATACTTACAGGAGTTCTGGAACATATGAACCTGCATCTCCACCAAGGGAAAGGACTGTCTGAAACTGTACGTCACAGACGTCTTCTTCTTCTGAAAAATCTTCGTTACCTGCAGCGGGGAACAGAAGGGATGTTCGGATGTAGTTATGATCATTATACATATGTACATACTCTAACAGAAAAATGCTTGGACACACTTGACTGAATATACCGAAGCACGTGGAATTGTGTCATTAACGTAATTTACGTCACACAGTTAGATGATCTTAGAAGTTTATCACAATGAGCATCTACAATGGCGCAAGCACCTGTAACCCTGGTAGGCGGAAATTTATATTCTAAACAGATTCCACTTCTCTGTTTGTGAACAGATCATTTTAAGCTGCTAAACTCCAGGAAAGTTTTCAGTCCAATGATCCAGTAAGGGAATTTAAACAACCAGTCCAAAACAGCGCTAATGTAAATAAAACCAGGCTGATTACATCAGAGGTGGCAGAGAGAATAGAGACTCACGTTGCGTTCTTAGTGAATCATTCATTCCAGTGTATTTCGCTTTAAAACACAAGCTCTGTCATATTCTGTGATTGTTTCTGAAGAGTGCGAGACCTCACAAATCGAGTGAAATACAGACTGAGCAGGATATCAAAACATCCCACCACTGTATGGCTAGATGAAACTACGTTTCTCGGCTGGATAAAGCAAACCAACGTCTCGCTAGTAAAGTTTTGATGGATGAAGATTGCAATCAAGGCAAAGATGATTGGGGTGACAAACAGGAGTCCAAACAGGAAACATTCACGTTGTTTCCACATACATTCAGGATAATGTTTTGATTTGTCATGTGTATGTTGCTGTGTTTAGTAATTCTGAATGGATACTGTAGTAAGTATATGCAGTCAGGTCAAGGTTTTTTTTTTTTTTTTGGCATCTCCATGTGGTCCTGTTCGGTATGGCAACTTGACTTGTCTAAAATGTAAACAAGCTCTTTGCTGTTGCACTGTACACATACATACTATACTGTGAATTCAGTGAAAAACGTTGATTTTTTCTGTAATATTTGTTATATATATATAAATGGGTGCTTTGGTGTGCATACATTTATGAATTATAAAATGTTCTTTTGGAGTCTCCAAGTATCCTTTTTTGGAAAGACACCTAAATTTACCTACAAAAAAAAGCAGAAAATACAGTTTTGTGAGAATCACCCTTAAATCTGATAGTTTACTGTTTTTTGTTTGTTTTTAGTTTAACGCCATGCCAGCTACCAAGGCTATATTCATAGCGAGAAAGAGATTAAAAAGGAACGATTAAAATAGGTTTTTTAAATTTTATCTTAGATAAAAATTCTAAAACTGGATCTGGTCTTACTTAATAAAAAATCTTTTCATACGAGTCAACTGAAAAATAAAGAATTCTAGTTCTAGTTCTAGTTAAAAAAAAAAAAAAGTTCAATCTATCACAGTCCATCAAAATATGCTTCAGTGATAATGGATTCTGGCACGAGGGGCACCCGTTAACAGAAACATATGAGTTAGTCTAGAGGGCCCTATTCGGCAGCGTGTGCAGGTAATATGATCCCAGCGATTGATATAGCAAATGATGACAAAATGAACGTGTTAAGAAGATAAATGGTGTATGCTTAATTTCACGAGAAGTGTGTGATTAATCGTAAATACAAATTTGAATCTAGTGACAGCCTTTTATATATATAATTACATACACATTCAGTCTGAATAGCTGGAATACTTTTTAGGTCACTGTATTATTTTCATATTTCTATTTGTGCCATTTAATAGTTTTGATGACTTTTTTTTATAAAATGATAAATAAAGAACAAGAAGGTGTCCAAACTTACTAGTACAAATTATATCTTCAATAATAAGTATTTATTATTATTACTATTGGTAGTAGCAATAGTAGTAATAATAATATGTATAAATACATAATATTTACATATAAAGAATATATTATTTTTGTCATTTTTAAGTTCACCAAGGACCAGAAATGGCTTGATTGTAACTAATGAATTGTGTGTGTGTGTGTGTGTATATATACTGTATATATATATATACATTTATAATTCTATAATTCTAAAATAGTTATAAGACCGAAACTGTTACATACTGTATGTTCCTACTGATTTAAAAAATAAATAAAAACAGTATACATAAGGTATATATAACAGCCAATACATCCTGTATACATTTTTCAATGCAAATAATACTATAAGTTATTGTAAATGCACGTCTTATCTATACAAAAGGGAGTATTTTTCCTCTACATCTTCTTGCAGTAATTAGACCAATATGAGCTGACTGAAGACTTACCACTAGCAGGTCATTAAAGAGGAAGACCTCCCGCTGGTGAACTCCACTCCGCTGTGGTCGATTGGGGTCAGGGACTTCATACAGCTGACAACAGCACACTAGCCTGCGATGTGGCAGAGAAAGCACCTGCACACACATACAAAAAGCATATCAAAATACAACTTGGTTTGTCTCACGCTAAATGACCCAAACAAACTGAAGATCAAATTTCCTTTTAACTACAATATGGGGTTTCTAACAGAAGTATGACATGCATGAGTGAATCACATGGTTTGACTCACAGGTTTCTTGCCCACGATGACCCTCTCTACAGCCTGCACTTGAGACACATGGTCATCGTTTGTCCTGAGTTCCCATTTCTGAATGCGCTGGTAGATGCCCACTAACATATCCCTGGGAATGTCCTGTCCATTATCCACTCCTGTCAATGAAAAAGAGAGGTAAAACGAATGAGAAAAAGAACATGAAAGACATTCTAGACCTAATGGAAAGGAGTGGATCACCTCTAAGGTTCTTGATAAAATCCTCCAGCTTCATCTTCCTCTCAGCTTTGACGTTGGGGCTGTACATGTCTGTGTTGAGGAGGATGATGGCAAATGCCAGGATGAAGATAGTGTCTGGGTTCTGAAACTGGCGGACAAGCGCAGGGTTGCACACGCAGTATCTCTGACTGCAAGAAAGAAAGAAGGTGATACTCATGCGGAAACTACAAAATTCAGAGAAAAGAGCACAGGGTGTGATGAGAGTCACATGAGGCTACCTGAAGGCCTCTACTAGTCTCTCCACTTTCTGGGCTTCCCCCTGAACCTTAATCTGAGCCTGAAACTTCCTAAGGGCGTCATCCAGATCCATACCCGAGAAATCCATCTCATCCAACACACAGCTGAGAAAGAAAAACAGAACGATTGCTGAATTCATCTACCAACATGTATTTGTTGATTTTTTTAGCCAGTGTCTGGCTTCTGTTTTTTGCCTCCAGGCTGGTGTAAACAGCATATGGATGCTTTGCTACAATCTGGGTCTGGAAGACAGGAAAAACATCATTACTTACTCCAACACATCCTTGTTGAACTGCTTTTGTCGATTTCCCAGAAACTCCCCGATCATCTGTCTACTTAGGCCTTTCCTCTCCAGGATGAAGCGGGCAATGCCCACAGGTGTGTCTGAGACAAAACCCCTCTCTATCAAATACTGGATCCCCTTCTCTGGTTTCCTGGAAGACAGAGAGACTGAGAGATTAAACAGATAGGACAGGATTTGTTTCAGTAAATCTGTGATGAACTGAATAAAGACGAAAAAGAGCATATTGACAACAGCATGAGGGTAGACAGAAGTATAGACACTTTAAACATCTTGCATCCGGATTTGGGTTCCCACCTTTTGCATTTGATCATGCGGTATTTTATTTATTTCTGTCAACTGATCCTAAAATTCACTTGATTGCATGCGGTTTCATTTCCTCATCAGAATTAGTTTTCTAAAGGAACCTGCTAAAAGTTCCCCCGGTGCTAAAAGATTCATATCAATCTTGATCCATAAAATGTTAGTTACTTGTTTTTATTATCAATTCTCTATGATTTATAAGGACAAGTTAAAATAATACTGTACTGTCATAAATCGTCTGTGATTTTAACAAAGGTATTAATTCCGAAAAAGGTTCCATTCACTCTGGGCTTGTCATCTCCTCAATATTAGGATGTAAAAATGAAATATGACAGGTGTGATAAACCATATGGAGGAGAAATCTGTAGATGGCCAATTGAAAAATATCTGTCCTTGAAATGTTTTTAACATTAAGATCTTATGGTTACTGTTTTTATGAAAAAATGGCAACATATTGGTTATCATTTCTTTTTTTCACTATTTTAAATCAAACTTTTTTTTGCATGTCCATAGTTGTGATATGATAATGCACTTTTTAAAGAACAAATATTATATATGTAGTTACTCAAGTAATATGATCCAATTGTAATTGTTAATGAAACAAAATAAAACAACAAGAATGCTCAATTGTGGGAAACTGAACTTTCTAATTAATTGTAGTTCATTTAAAATAATTATTTAATAAAAAACATTGCATGTGTATAGAAAAGGGAATTTTAAATTAAAAAGGGGAAATTTTGTTTAAATAGATTTAGACTGCAGGACACTATTTCAATTTTCAAATTAAAATTTCAACTGAAACCGCACAATGTCAGTCCTATCACTGATCTTGTCCTATCACTGATCAGGACTGAACGCATTTTGGTGAACATCTCTTACTTGTTGAAGAGGTTGAGTCCGATGCGGTATTGCCTTCTCTGTACCACGTCGTTGTTGAAGGCAGGTGAGTCCCAGCTATGCCTGCTCTCTCTCTGATAGGTCTGTTTTCCAAGAGGAGGCAACGGTTCCCTTAGACTGTCCCTAGACGAAGAGCCTGAGCTGCAGTTGATGGTCTCGTTGGAGTTGGTGGTGGAGTTCAAGGAGTCGTTGTCCCCATCCGAGTGCTCCAGGCCAGTAGGGGGCAGGGGTGCGGAGGATGAGGAAGACAGAGGTGTGAGTGGAGGTTGGGTGGGTGAGGGAGACGTGGGGTCTGGGTAGGGGTGATGGATGTGTGGCAAAGGGTGGTGATGCAGTGGATGGTGAAGATGTGGGAGGTGATGGTGGTGCATCATAGCGTGGTGCGGTAAGTGTGTAGGCAGAGGAGATGGGATGGGGCGACCCTGTGGTCGCGTTTGGCCCTGTGCCGCGCAGGGATTGGGCGTGCGAGGTGCAGGATTGTGTTTGAGAGTCCCTTGGGGTGATCCGCCCGTCGTAGGCTCCTGCTCATAAAGCAGCTGTCTGCTGAGGGAGCCTCGATCTGAACGGTCGCTCATGTCAACGGAGCTGTCGCTAGGCGGCTCTATGGTGAGAACGGGAAGGTGTGAACCACGCAAGCGGAAATCTCTGCATTCGGTGCACGGCGTGCTCCGCCGACTGTTATTGCTCCCGCCACCCTCTGTATCCCGGCTGTCTTCGCGGCCTCCAACCCCACTGCTGACGCCCCAGTACTCGGTGTCCGTGCTAGAGGGAACCCGCTCAATAGATAGCGGAGAACACGGCATGCCGTCGTCCATATAAAGCGTGACATCGCTGTACGAGGTGGCTGTGCTGTCCTCGTGCATGACCCCTAGACGCTCTTGCTCCCCCAAGACCCCCCTACGTGAGGTAGGTTTGTTGCTCCACACACACTCTCCGAAATCCTCGCTCTCGTCGCCGCCTCCCCCACCACCATCCTGAGAATCTCCGCGACCTGACTGACACGTCAAAGTGTCGTCCATAGAGTTAGCCAGAGAGGTCACCTGAGAGAAAGCACACATACATTTACCCTACTGTTCAAACATTTGGAGGCTTTTTTTGAGTATTTTTGAAAGTTTGGGGGATTTAGTCACTTATGCTCACTTAGGCAACATTTATTTGATCAAAAATACATTAAAAACATTAACATTGTGAATTACAGTGCGTGAATAATTATTAGACAAGTTGATATTTTGATCATATTTTTTTCAAGCACATTTTACCAATTGAAAACCACATAAATCTTAATGACTATTAAGATTTGTATATAATTATTAATTGGCGATATGTAATTGTAGATGAGGGCTTAAAGCGAATAACGCCTTATATTAAGATATATATGCGTAATTATTAGGCTTTTTTTCCCCTACTGGTAAAATGGGCCAAAAAAAAGAGATTTAAAGCACACTGAAAAATCAATTTATGAAATGCCCATGAGAAGTATGCAATGCTATAGAAATTTAAAAAATGAATGTGAAAAACAGGTGGAGAAGAAAAGAAGCATGTTAATGAATTTCTGGTGGTTTCAGACTTAATTCTTCGTTTACGGTGCCACCATTTTCGAGAACAGCAAACTACCTGGAAACTACCTTTATTCCTCAGAAGGAAAAAGTGTCAGGTTCTCAGAGACTCCTGAAACATAACCCCCACTTAATAAGAATCACACGCTGAAATGTCATGAAATAGACGAAGACTGATTTTTAATAAAAGTTTTATGGACAGATAGTTTGAGAGTGACTCTTGAGGTACCAGAACCAGTTGAAGTCAGACAACAGCAAGGTGGCAAGAGAGCCATGGTGTGACTAACAATGAGCAAGACAGACCTTTCAGGGTAGGAGATGGACTTAAAATGAACTCACAGTCTGCATGTATTTCACAACACTTCAGTTTGTGTTTTTTGGTGTCAAGTTGGGGTCATGTTTCAGGATTCTTTAGAAAAGTATTTGAGAACCTGACACCTTGTACTTCTGAAGACTTAAAGTAGGTTGGCAGTTCTGGAAAATGGCACTGGAGACTAAAGGGTTCCTGATGGCTTCACACCTAATTCTTCACCTTAATTCTTAAAGTCTTTTGCAGTTAGTATCTTTCCTTCTCAACCTGTTTTTGTGACCCTGCTGTCTGCCATCCTTCTCATGTCCATTTAATAGTTTTTGACTTTTCATTGTGAATGACATTTTTTGGCCAATTTTACCTGTAAAAGAAAACTGTTTAATAATTATGCAATTATGAATATAAGGCATCTTTCACTTCCAGCCCTGGTTAACAATTATATATCACATATAAAAAATGAATAGTAGTTAATAAGATTGATGTGATTGGAAAACACTGTGATCAGAATATTGACTTGCCTAATAATTATGCATGCACTGTATTTCATTTAAAAAATAAAATAAAACTGTTTTCTATTTTAATATATTTTAAAATGTAAAGCATTTAAATTACTATCGTTTTCAGTGTTTTATTTTTAAGTAACTTAACAAAATATTATAGAATATCACTATTTATCAGTTATTGTCCATAACATAAAAGTCGTTGTCAGAATATCAGTGTCAACCAGAATTTGAAATATCTGTGTATTTCTGATATTTTGCCTAATTCAACCAGTAGCCATTTTTCCACATTTAAATCGTTTCATATTAGTGCATAAAATCTGAAATAAAGCCCTGAAAAAGGATTCTTTCTTTCTCTCCATTAATAAAAGCCTTCGATTCAGGCTACAGGGAGATTTTCTCTGCAATTAGCCACTTTGAAAGAAGTGTCTGTTATCTAATTCTGTGGATTGTTTTGAAAGATTATAAGTTTGCCTGATTTGTTGATAAGTCCTCATTTGTCTCACAGGCAACATGTAAAACTACTTTATACCAAATCTAATATAGCCTAAATCTATTCTTCCGATACTATTCCAACTTTGTATGTGACCTGGACTGAAATTAGTTTAAATGAACCTAAATCTAGCATGACTTCTAAGGCCCATTTTTGGACTATTTCACTCATCTGTCACCTGTTTGTTGAAGGCGTCATCTGCATGCGAGTACTCCTCTCTGTCTGAAGGACAGTGTCCGGGTGAGTCAGTCTCCTGCTGTGTGTCTGTGGTTCCTGCCTGGCCAGCTGTTCCTGGAGTTGAAGTGTGATGGCTGGCATATCGACCTTGCTGCTGCTGGGGCGTTTGGGGCTGAACCTGAGCAATAATTAATATTAAAAATAGGAATTAAAATGACGTAAATATCACATTAAACAGAATCAATATCTGACAGTCAAGCTGAATTTTCCACTTAGTACAGGCTTTAACCATTATACTGTTATATTGCCTGTGGCTGTCGCTCGTCAAACGAGTACTGCGAACGCATGTTTGACAGGATGATCCGGCGAGTCATTCGGCTTTCTGAGGCGGAACTGCGCAGCCGTTGAAAGTTCTTGTTCATGCGATACTGCCGGAATGCTGTCTGAATCGTGCGAGCCGCTCGCCTGCTCAGGAAGTAACCGCCATACTTCCTCTCCAGCATCTCCACCTGATAAAAAGGAAAACAGAGAGCATGAAAGGCGAATGGAATTGAAGACAGAAAGACGTGGTGCATTGTTCTTCAAACCTAGTAATGTACTGTGTCTACATGCTTTACCAATCAAGCCTGAAACACAAAGAATCTGGGAAATGACAGCAATGTGGTTCAATAATTAATAAAATTAAATATATTTCTGTACATAGCAGTATACATTGCAGTTTTTATTGCAGTGTTTATGTGAATCTTTTCGGAAGTCTCAGTCACTCCTCCACGAGTGGATAATTCCAGAATGCAGAAATCCTTGGTAGTAATATGAAAACATAACAGCACGGTCTGGATCATAACTGCAATCCCATCTTTCATTATGTGAGATGATGCTTTCATTATGTGAGATGAGGTTTGGCTTCACATTAGCATGACTGGAGGACATTAAGTGCATTCAAGGCATGACTGTAGTTTAAAGCTTGTAATATGGCCTCCATGCACATTAAAACACAAACACGTTGTGATAAGTAGATTTTCCTATGGGCTGTTTGTGCCGCTGAGAGTTTTGACAAACATTAAGCAAGCACAAATTAAGCAAAGTTAACAGTGTTTGACAAGCGGAAGATTTCCTTTCATTAATGGTATGAAAACATGGTAATACTGTTTTTTTTTAGTGATGGCACGATTTCTTTAAATGATATGTGCAAACACCACTGTACATCAATATGATATACTGTACATTCAATTCCACCGTAATTACTGTATGAAAGCACTACGGTATGATCATCTGATATAATCCTGTACTATGCATGTTTCCATGTAATATTTGAACAAAACCGCTTTTTTTTGGTTATACCATCCTGAAATTGTTGACTTTTTGCATGAAAAAGAAATGAAAATGAATCATAATTTAGAAATTTAAAACATGCCCATCATAGAAGATATGTATTTAAGTCTTTGTATGATTTTCATTTGGATGCACTTTTGATTTAATTAATGGATTGACAAAAAATAAATAAAATACCAACAACATTGACCCATTTCCCATTCCCAAGATTTACAATTTGTGTATGTATGTATATATTTCTTATACAGTATATACATACATTTAACCATGGTACTGCCCCCCCACATTTGGGAAAGGTGGTACAGTGTAAATACACAATGGCAGGTCAAAATAGCGATATGCGTTTCTTGAGGCACACACATCCACACCTTCTTGTCCTGCATGTCCGTGGAGAGCTCATAGCTGTCAGAGAGCGCTTTGCAGCGCTTGCTCTCTTCTTCCTCTTGCTTGCGGAGTGCCAGGCTGGCGGGTTGGTGGCGGGTCCGTTGCGCCCAGGCCAGGCTCGCTGGACTTGAAGGGGCCACAGTAGGCCCCTGAGGGCCGGGAATGTTTCGAATGTTCCCGTAGCGGTCCAAGTTGCCCAGGTATGGGCCCTGACTGCAGGTGCTGTCGGTAAAGCTAGTCGTGTCCGGACACTGAGGATCTCCCTCCACACTGAGAGGAAAAAAGAGAGAGAAAGAGAGACAGAGATATGGAGAATGAGCTCTAGGTCAACAACTGCCAGAAATGGTCTTATCTGTTGACAAGTTGAGACTAAAACAAGTCTGTAATCTTGGCACTTAAACTGATCAGTGTAGACAAACATATTAGCACACTAACCAACATTAGCATTTCAAATGCCCATATGCAGCCCAGCCAGGACTCAGCCATCTGGCCGGAATACAGAAGAACGAGAGAAAAGATGGAGGGAGTGTGAAAGAGGAACAGAGAGAGGGCATGATGCATAGAGAAAGAAGCAGAGAGAAACGAAGAGAGAGAGAGAGAGAGATAGAAGGGAAAAACAGTAGCATGTGTGGTATACTGTCAACGAGAGAAGCCAAGTCAGGCATCAAAAATGATAAGAACTGAGTCATCCAATGATGACTCGGAGAGAAAAAGAGCAAGCGAGAAAGAGAGAAGCACAAAAAAGAATGAAAAGGAGTATAAAAGGCAAGTCGGACTTCAGTATCCCCCTCTCCCTGAAGCAGGTGTACTGTACTGTGATGACTCACTTCCTGGTCAGCATTTTTTTAGTAAGTTGCCATTTATAATAAATACGTAATTATACATCATGTCATCTTTTTATTCTGTATTCTTCAGTCACCTTTTTTTACTGCCATAACTAGCTTAACCTATTCTCAACAAATATACAGATTAAACCGGTTTGACCAATATATATATATATATATATATATATTTACAACTTAACAGTTCTACTAAGCAAAAATTACAACAGTAATAATTTTTTTATTATTATTATTATGCAAGCATGTTTTTTTTTTTACTGTTGTAGTCTAATGTTTTAATTAATATTTTTGTAGCCAAAAAGCACAAATAATATAATTCAAAATTGGTTATGGATATAATTTATAATTGTTACTGTTATATTCACTTTTCAACTTCTAGTTTATTATTATCAAAACAACTTTGCAATTTGAATAACAATACTACTACTACTAATTTTTATTATGCTGCATATTACATTTTTATTGTTGTAGTCTAAAAAATCACAAATAAACTATTAATTAAAAATTCATTATAGATATTGGTTGTCAGACACTTAAAAACACTCTGTATGTGTTTTAGTCATTATATTAAGCATTATCAGTCAAATGATAATGCTATTCTCACAAATCTTAACATATAACATTTAAATGTTCATCATTCTGTGATTTTTCCCCCAGTTGTTTACTCACATGTAGGCGTGGGCCCTGTGCGGGAGTTTAGTCTTTCGGTGGAAGCGCATGGCTAAGGAGGAGAACACACACTCACACATGATGTCTGCACTGCAGCGGTGTGATAGGGAGCATGTGTTTGTGTAGGAGCTGTTCTGGGATCAGCTGAATCATGCCGGAGGGTTTCCTGATGACCGCATCGACGATCTGTCAATTACTGCAGAGCCGATGCAGTTTCAGAGCAGTACAGTAGCAACCGCACACATACAGTCCTCTCTCTTTGTGTGTAACAAATCTCTTCATACCAGGGGGCTGGTAACGAACAACACGGCAACAGCTGAGTCTAGCCAGCAACAGAAAAGCTTCAAAACAATCGTCTCAACAGCAAACAACTGAAATATTATACCGCTACACACTGTAACATTCAATGTATGATTATTATGCAGCCTACAGTTTCACAATATACCGTTCCACCAAAAGGCAGCATAGTACAACCTCCATTTCTCTCTTTCAATCACACACAAGGCAATAAATGTCCTTCAGACTTTCTCTCCTGTCTAGGACGTGTATGGGGATGTGTGTCCAGGAATAGTGCCGAGTAGTCCAGCCGTGCAATCCTGCGGTGATCAGCATGAGTGACTTTAGATATGTGGATGTACTGTATGTGTATGTGTGTGTTTGCTCATGACGGATATGCAGCTGTGGTAGGATCCCGGTCACATGGTGCTTGTGTGTGTGGGCAAACCGTGCTGTCCCCCACCTCCCGGGGCAAGTCACACAAAGGCACACTTGCAAACACGTCATGGCAGTCCTGGGTCAGCTCACTACCATACAAACATTATTCTTTCCTGTTACGATAATATTCATTCCTGTTACGATAATAAACAGTAATATTGTAGCCAGGAAAGTTTTCTTAACGAAAATAGAACGCTAGTTTTTGATTTGTAGAACATTATATTGTAATGTTCCCCTAACGTTATAATCTAACGTAAAAATATTTTGAATTTGGACTGCAGTACCCATTTCAACCACTAGCTGTCAATATTACATACTGCACCTTTAACAGCAGAAGGAACGATTATTAGTGAACAATGACTTAGGCCTAAATTATAACTGACTTCAGAAGACTACAAATATAGTGCATGTGTAATATGGACCCTTTTTATGATGCTTTTTTGTGTCATTTTGAAGTTTGACAGCCCCAGTCCTCATTTACCTTCATTGAAAATACGTAGAGGCCCTGGTCTCATACAGAAAGTCATACAGATTTGTACAACATTAAGATGAGCAAATTATATTTACATTTATTCATATAGCAGATGCTTTTAGTTATAATTCTTCACAGATATCTGATTTAATACATTTAACCGCATAGATAGAATATAAGAAAATCTTTCTGACTGTTAAAGTGTACTGACAGCAAAACGTGCATGTGCATTAGTTGTGTGTGTACACTTGTATTTTCATGAAATCGCGGGGGAGATGCTGACAGAAAGGAATATTTCCGTGCGAGTCAGTGAATGGCTGTTAATTGAAAGTGTCACTCAGACTCCTACATGCGTTTGGCAGCATTAGTGTAACCTGTTAAAGAAAACGTTCATCAACGGGAAGGCAACCAAGTGGTTCTGCAATATTAGCTCAAAAGCATGCACAGATCTACCAGAAATGGCCACCGGAACACTTTCAACACACTAGAATTTAGGACACGCTAATCTTGCACACATTAAAATACAGATAACATGCAAACTGGGATTATAATTTTGTCAAGTGCCTCGGTTAGTAATAAAATACAGTAATTCACGCTCTCCAGACAGAAGTGCACGGGCCAATCAAAACAGATTTTTAAATACATAATACGCGTAATTCAACACAAATATAAAGGACTCACAGCAGACATCAGTACAGCTTTAGCTTGCTCTATTAAACCAATAATAAAGTAATAAAAAGCCGCACCATTAACTTTATGATCTAAAAGAGCCATCTGCTTTTCAGTAGAATGATCTTGCATTATGCTAATGTAACTATATCACTATACCATTCATCTGCCATTATATAATAGTGCACTTTAAAATTGTCACTCTGCAATCAATCTGTCATGATTTTTTAGTAATTGACATTCATTATTATGTTTAAAGATCCACAATAACCAATAAAACATTTCATGCAATCCTGCAAGCATCTAATGAAGCTGTTAGAAAAAGCTTTAAAAAAACAACAACTAGCAGACAAAGAGCAAACTGACAGATAAACAGAGTATGCGCCATTGATCTTTGAAGGATTACTGAATTGTTTCCTCAGCTAGTTCTGTGTAAATCTATTACCCATTATGTGTCACCGTGATCTCACCACAAACCACAACACAATCGGAAAGTAATCAGCAACTTTTACTCTACAAATTACACTAGGCAGTGGCCCATGTTTTTGTGGTTGTAGTACCAAAAGAGACTCATTTTTTTAAATTAATTGCAATAGAGTTTAGTCTTAGCATGCTGCTTAGCTAACACCAAGGTACTCCAAGCATAAAAATACCTAGCAAAAAAACAAACAAAAAATTGGCTAAAACACTTTATAATTCCAATAAAACCATTTTAATGAAAGTATAAGCTTATTTAATTCTCTCACCTTTTCCATCATCTTGGATTGATTTTTCACAGAGCTTATTGCAATGTAATATAGAATTGCCTTCTCTACAAAGGATACATGTGATGCTGCCTTAGAATTTGGCGTAAACTGGGTAGGAGGCGGTATAATTAAGCTGCCTCCCTTCTGGAACAGCCATGTGAGGTCTTAAAATGATGCCTCCGTAGGCAGCACACTAGGTTTTGGAACAGAGGTTTTATCTTTGCTACAGGAGATGGGGGCTGGTGTAACACAGCTAGGAGCTATTTTATTATCAATTCTATCGATTTTCATAATCATGTTAAATTAGTTTAGGCTCAGAATTACAGTAATTCCACGATATCAGTCTAGTATCATAGCCTTTAGTTGGGAGTGATTTTGTGGGTGAGATCTTCATTAAGGGTGCAGAAAGAAAGGCATTGTAATCATCTTTTTAGTTTGTGTTATAAAAAACATAAAACATAAAACCATCACGTTCACGTGTTTATGTGAATATCATGGGGTAATTCACGTGAAAATGAGAAAAAAAAAAATCACACCTATAAAACAGAAAAACTGTAAAAAAAAAAAAAAAAAAAAAAGAATTTCAGCTTTTCTTTTCTATTGATCAAAATAACAATATTGTTCAAAGGTTTGGGGTCAGTATAATTTTTGTTAAATAAATTAATACATTTATTTAACAAGGATGCATTAACTTGATCAAAAATGACAGTAAAGACTGTTATAAAGTTACAAAAAAAATTCTACTTCAAATAAATGCTGTTTCTTTCTTCAAAGAATACTGAAAACATGTAAGTCACAAGTCATCTGAAGCCATATGATAAACAGCCCGAAATTTTGTTATTCAGAAAATACAACTTTTTCTTTGTTTGCATACAGTCAGAAGCATAGTTATTCACATGATTTAATATAAAGAAAAGAAGTAAAAAGCCATGTCCAAATAAATATGAATGTGATTGAGAAAAGGGATGAAAGCTCACTTAAAAGTGACAATCTTTAAACCGGTATGAGTTTCTTTCTTCTGTGGAACATAAAAGAAGATATTGAAAAATGTTGCCATGGCTTTTGTCCATTTAATAAATGTCCATCTTTGCTTGTACTATGTATGTCAGAAATGTCATTTTTCAATATACTAGTTCTTTAAATCTGATGCTGACAGAT